GTTTTCCCTGAAGATGACTATCGAAGATAGTCGAAATATCGGAAGAATTATTTTTAATAAAGTATAAATGATTTTTAAATATAAATAATAAATTAGTGTCTTATTTATTTCTATTTAAATATGACCAATTAGCCCGATAACTGATGATAAATAATTTTTAAATATAAATAATAAATTAGTGTCTTATTTATTTCTATTTAAATGTGACCAATTAGCCCGATTAGCCCGATAATAATTTTTGGTCACAAATAAAAGTATTTAATATTTTATAAAATTATTAGTTTATAAGTAATTGAAACTTATAAGACTTGTTATTGAAGTTGTATGACATTTTTTTTAGAACAATTGAAGATGTTTAGTTATTTAAACAAGGCATATTAAAAGTACAATTCCATCAGAGACAACTCGATAGCCAATGATATATTCTTTAGAAAAATTTTAATTATATTCAAAGTAATTAAAGTTTATCAAGTTAACGCGTGAATGCAATAAAAATATGCCAGTAAAGTAGAAACCATAATAATAATTTAAATATCGCTTTTAAAGACAATATCGTCGAGTGCATGAAGTTTTTAAAAACTTTTATGCCTAAACATGAAACAATTGTATCAATATGATTTCTGATTTTATAAAGAACAGCTACTTTAGAATGCAATACTGAAAATGACAGTTGTTTTGATGGCCAAAATTATTTTTAATAAATTTTTTGATTAGTCGACGTCAAAAAATTAAACGTTAACCAAGATTTGACACCAACAGTAGAGACAGGTGTACCACTAGTCAGTGCATTTCAGCTAATTCCACCTAGTTCGTGGATACCATTCTTGAATTTTAGAAAAGACAGCCAAAATGCATATTTTAAGTATTAAGTTTTTTGTTTTATTAAAATAAATTCACTCACTCTTAACATAATTTTTTTGCATCAAATAAAAATTGTTGAACTTCTAAATTACTTAAACGTGTATAAGCTCCTGGTAGTCCTAAACCGCAGTTCAATCCTATGGAAACTACACCCACTTGTTTACCTTTGCGCATAACTGGGCCACCGGAATCACCTGCACAAGCATCTTGTCCAAAATTTCCTGTTAGGCATAACATATGTCGGGTTTCTTCATATGAAAAATAGCTGCTACATCTAACTGCATATACATCTGCTGCACGTAAGACATCATGCGTTCTATTTTTTTCGGTGAAACCCCATCCTACAATAGTAGCTCTATTCCACCAGTGTACACGTTCGTAATTAACATCAACGATTTGCACATGCGGTGACTGTACATTTTTATTTAATTTTATTATGCCAATATCCAAATAATTATATGTTCCTAAGGTATATTTATATGGTACATACATGGCAGCGACATCTGATATTTTATTCCAGGTTTTACTGTCACCTATCCATACTTCATATGTTGCAGCAGTACCTATCAAACAATGTGCCGCAGTTAAAACACATTTAGAAGTGAACATAGTTCCTCCACAAATAAATCCTCTATTAACTACATTTATTCTCACTAAGTACGGAAAATCATTTGCATCAACTGCAGTGCCATGTGCAATCTTTTCATATTTACAATCAAATCCTTTGACAAAAACCGAAATCACTATGAAGACAAATGTTTGCCGTATGCAAGACATTTTCTTTGTGAACAATGTTCAACTCAGTAGTGTTTTTTAAGAAATTTGTAAACTATTTGAAATGTCAAAAATGAGGTTTATCAAAAGTTTTATTTTTCTTCATATCTAACAAAGTACACACTATGTACATTTTTCGCAAGGTTATTAAAGTTGTAGTCATATAATATAAAACTTGTTTTATTATTACTTCAAAGTGTTTGAATATCGAGCATTACGGTATTTGAACATCGATAGTACAGTCGATTTTGAACATTTGGACCGATTACTTCAAGTACTCAAAGAAGTTCGAGGTACTTGTATAAGTCCAAGCTATTTAGACAGTTCTCAAGTTAATTTTGATAAAGATTTTGTTGATTTTACAACTTTTGTTGAATTCATAGCAAATCATCCTTTTGAATTTATTTATTACTAGCTGTAACCTGGAGACGTCATATAGAAAACAGTTGATTTCATTTGAAAATTTATAAAACAACAATATTCTTTAAGACATCGCTTCAAATAGTTCTTAACCAAGTTGAAGAATGAGAATGGATGGTATCAGATTACCAGAATTGTCAGAATTGTTGCTTCAATAACATTTGGCATTATTCTTATGACACCTAATCTAGATCCATTACACACACGACTCTCCATTCAGAATTATAGCTTCAATAACATTTGTTATAGTGAAATCCCAGTTATACGTTTATTGAAGGACATTTATAATGTCCTTATTGACATTTATAATGTCGTAATTAGCAGACAAATATGCACACCGATTTAGTGGTTAAAGAGTCTATTGGGTACAAACAAACCTCAACCAAATTTATATATATATAGTATATAAAATTAGATTTTTATTTATTGAGTAAATAAATTTTGATACTTACTTTGAAAGGTGATTATTTAGATATAAATAGTATAATCTAGGTGTATATTTAATATATATTTGAGTATATTATTAGAGAATTGTAATAGCTCTGATAGTAATTAAATATTTTCTTTATTGTATACGTCTCTAAAAGACTTATAATACTTAAAAAGAAGTCATTATCGTTGTATAGTATACTATATAATTATAAGCATTTACTAATAATTTGTAATAACACATAGCTGAAGGCCTCAGCAGTCAAAGCTATATCTATACATGTTAGTATTAATTTTTATAAACTAAACTATCATTATTAATAAATAAATAAAAATAAAAAATCGTTGTATAGTATACTTTTCTATCCATAGAAATTTCTATTATATGTAACACAAAATAAAAATAACGATTGTAAATTTTAATCAAAAATAATTACGATAACAGCTAATTTACAATATAAAAAACTCAAATATTTTGCATAATTTAATGATAAGGTAAATCTATTGTTGTAATTTTTTGCACTTGAAGGCTGAAGTCAGATTTCTACTTTTCTATGTAAACGTATAAACTTTGTTCACGTAAACCTAAAAACAAAAATATATTATTAAATTTTAAAATATAGACGCTTAGATGTAAGACGATGGTGGTTAATGACAACAAATTTTTACTACTAAATTTTTCTCCAGATTAGTAATTCTTTTTTGTAGTGCTTATTTGCAACAGTTATGAAAAGTTCAGCAAAGAAATTAATAGACATTTAAAAAGAACACCAATTTCTTATCTTGCTCTTATATTTTGCTTAATTATGTTGTAACCCAATAGTATTCTGGGCTCTGAGCAGCAGAAGTTATGGCTTGATCCTTATTTTGCAAGTTTCTCTGTCTTTTCGATTTGCTCAACATCGATATATCCTTTAACACACATGAGTGTTACTTCATTTCCATAAGCACATTCCATGAGCTTCGTGACACATTCTTGTACTAAGCTGTTGACTACTAAGGTCTTTTGAAAGGTCTACCTTAAAAAAAGATGGAGACACACTTTGGCCTAAACTATAATAAGAAAGAAATATTTAAAATACATCGAAACTGCAGATTGTTTATGAATTCTATAACAAATCTTATTCACTTCCTTTTTTGGTTTCAAATAAAATATCAAAACTGGGGAAACCTATGTTCTTTATTTTTATCCTGCGAAGTGAAGGCTTTTTACTCAAATGTAATTTATTCTCCAATGTGCCGTTCTACAGATGACGAGTAAAATATTTAATTACCCAATAATTAACTATAAATTTATCCTTATAAACTCCTTATAGATTTTGGTTTGGTACTCTTGTCATGTTCTGAAAGTGAGGATTAATCTAAAATCGACATCTACATCTTGTTTAGAAATAGTACGTCCCAATCTCAACGAATTTTTGCTTTCTATATCTATTTTTTGTCATCCATTTTTCTTTGTTTATCTTTCAAATTG